ACTATTTGAGTAATACTCTGTCAAACTCCCCTCCAGAGTACAATAATGCATGTTTTCTGCCCTCTTTGATGAGAGATACAATACTTTTTTGCAATGAGTTCTTAATAAAATCGGTTATGCTGAATTCTGTACTACTTGGACTAGAGACTTGGAGTAATACTTGTTTAAACTCCTGTCCTGAGTACACAAAAGAATGTATTCTGCTATCTTTGATGAGAGATAAAATGATTTTTTGCAATAAGTTATTAATGTAATTGGTACTGTTGGATTCAGTACTACTTGGACTAGTAGCACAAGTACAATCAAGTATTTTTACTGTGTACTTTTTGAGTAATCCTTTGTCAAACTCCACCCCTGAGTACAATAATGCATGTGTTCTGCCATCTTTGATGAGAGATAAAAGGATTTTGTGCAATAAATTCTTAATGAAATTGGTACTGTTGGATTCAGTACTACTTGGACTACTACTAAAAGTACAATCAAGTACTTTTACTGTGTACTTTTTGAGTAATCCCCTGTCAAACTCCCCTCTAGAGTACAATAAGGCATGTTTTCTGCCATCTTTGATTTGAGATAAAATGATTTTGTGCAATAAGTTCTTAATGAAATTGGTACTGTTGGATTCAGTACTACTTGGACTACTACCAAAAGTACAATCAAGTACTTTTACGGTGTACCTTTTGAGTAATACTCGTTTAAACTCCTGTCCTGAGTACAATAATGCATGTTTTCTGCCATTTTGATGAGATAAAATGATTTTGTGTAATAAGTTCTTCATGTAATTGGTACTGTTAGGTTCAGTACTACTTGGACTACTACCAAAAGTACAATCAAGTACTTTTACTGTGTACTTTTTGAGTAATACTCGTTTAAACTCCTGTCCTGAGTACAATAATGCATGTTTTCTGCCGTCTTTGGTGAGATAAAATGATGTTGTGCAATAAGTTCTTCATGTAATTGGTACTGTTGGATTCAGTACTACTTGGACTACTACTAAAAGTACAATCAAGTACTTTTACTGTGTACTTTTTGAGTAATCCTTTGTCAAACTCCCCTCCAGAGTACAATAATGCATGTTTTCTGCCATCTTTGATTTGAGATTAAATAATTTTGTGCAATAAGTTCTTAATTAAATTGGTACTGTTGGATTCAGTGCTACTTGGACTACTACCAAAAGTACAATCAAGTACTTTTACTGTGTACTTTTTGAGTAATACTCGTTTAAACTCCTGTCCTGAGTACAATAATGCATGTTTTCTGCCATATTTGATGAGATAAAATGATTTTGTGCAATAAGTTCTTAATGACATTGGTACTGTTGGATTCAGTACTACTTGGACTACTACCAAAAGTACAATCAAGTACTTTTACTGTTTACCATTTGAGTAATCCTTTGTCAAACTCCACCCCTGAGTACAATAATGCATGTTTTCTGCCATCTTTGATGAGAGATAAAATGATTGAACTCCCTTCCAGAGTACAATAATGTATTCTTTTTTTACCACGTCAAATTCCTCGTACGTGTAAACCTACCTGGTAATAAACATGTTTCTGATATATAATAAGCGTTAGAAAAATGTTCTTCACAATACTGACTATGTTGGACAGAGTATTTTAACAGGATATGGTAAACACATGATATGAACACTAGATCCACTAGATCAGTACTCCAGCAACAGCATTGTTACACTTTGGAAAGTCTTTAGAGACTGGCCTGGATAGCTGTTCACAACTTTCCTTCAGCACAGTGACACACCCTTGTCACTCTTGTTGGCCTCTTATTACGCTGCATGTCTTTTAATATATGTATAATATATTATTTCTCTGCCCCTAGTTCTTTCCTTGCAGATTCTTCAGTCTCATCAGCCTCATCAACCCATCAGTCCCAGTCAACGTCTTCAGCCTCCAGCATACTTTCCCTGTACAAGGCTCATTCCCCATGATCACAACACCTTATATTATCCTGTCTTTAACTAAATGTAAAGTCCTTCTTCTACCTAACCTTTTGAAGACTCCAAAACAGGCATTTGTACTGTATGTGTTTGGAGAAATTATACAACAAATGGCCCAGATTTGTACTATAGAAAATCGAAATCTTGTAATGTAGGAAACAATTCACACTGGCTACCATGTGATATAGGCTTTGTTTTGCAATATTTATTCAACGGTCACTTCTTAGTTAAACAAATCTCAAATATATATTCTAAATATATCAAATTGAGCATATAAATGAAAACTATTTCACAGCAACCACATCCCCTGCTTTTTGGAAAAGTCTGGAGTCCCAGTCCCCAGCCGGTGCCTTTTGTTGTTAATATAGGACATACAGCAACCGCATATTCATGCACAAACATTATTTGTCACACAGAGAGCAAACCCAGTCCCCAACTTGTGCCTCTTCAAGAGACTTTTGGTCCATATGCAGGCACTGTGTGTGGCACCACCGGAAACAGCTGTCACACTGAATCTGCAATAGAAGGAGACAAATGAGAGTAAAGCCCTGCTTATAACAGCTTTGAGCAATGGTCAACTGCATCCCTCAAGTGTTTGTATTTAGTTACTGCTTTCATTTAATGCTTTTCTACAAATCTAAATTGTGAAATATCTGAAGTCTCAATATTCATTAAACCTTACCCAGTCAGTGTGGGTGTGATGTGGCATTGAGCTGGGTGGTTTTATGCCGGCGCACATGGCACAGTTGAGTTCTTTGTCAAACACTGATGAAAAGAAAATGCTAATGTTACATCTCAAGTACAACAATATCACAATTGAATTGATATTTTGAAAAAGTAGCACGCACCTGATGCTGTCAGTATTTCCATGGCCAACACTTTTCTTTGATGCGCCATCTCCTTTTGTGTGGTCCCAAAGGCCATTGTTGGTGTTTTAGGAAAGACTTCCATGACCTCCTTTGCCATCTTAAAGTGATACACCATGTTCTTAAAATAACTATCCAACTACCTCAAATGTGTTTCTGTGAAAGGCAGTAAAACAGACTTAATCCTAAAAGCTGAATGAATGTTATATTAGCAAAAAGCATATATGAAAATAAATATTCCACTTACCATGCAGACAACTACCCCACAGCTATTGCCATCCTGCTGTACTGGGTGTTTCATTACTCCTCCCTTCCATTTTATGTCTACCCAGTCTGTCTTACTGCAGCAGGTCCTCCTCATTTTGAAGTAATCACTGCGTGAGATAAGATATATTATTAATGTACAATGCATACTGTAAAAATACAATACTCGCATAATAACATAAATCCTTGTCACACTGTGTCTCAGCAGTCGAGTAACACCATTTGAAGTGATGTTAATGCATGTTTCCCAAATGTATATTTTAAGATGTAACATGCAGACACCTAGTCTGATGTCAAAATGAATTGACAATTGTTCACTCTAAGGACAGGTTGTTTATTCAGTGGGTTGGGTGTTATGGTATCATCGGTATGGACCAAAGTCAAACATGCACACATTTTTCACACATTATATGTTCTGGTGTAGTAGCACATACAATAAAAAAACAAAAGGGCTGGTTGTGGCAATATAGCTGATCCATCTATTCCCACATAAATATAACAATAAATATAAACATTATATATGAGGGAATAGAATGAAATAAATATTTTTGAAAAATAGGTGAAATTGTTAGTTAGTACCTGAATTTGTTGGCAGCATTGTCTGACTCTGCCTGCTCTGCAGAGTTGCGTGCAGGATCTGCCAAATACACTGTGCTTTCTTCAGCATTGATGTACTGTGGACACAGAAAAATAAATATATATTTTTGAAATAAACACAACATCTCCAAAAACGTAGCTGATCAAGAAATATACAATTATATGATATAGACACCACTAACCAGAAATGTCCAGTGTACACCGTCTACATGTACAAAGGACACAATGGCTCCATAGCTGTCAAAGTGTATCTGTAATACATAAGAACAAAACAACTTCCATTTCCCATCAGGCTGTATTTGTTTTCTTTATACAGTAGAGTCAAATAGCTTGATAGAGTATGTTTTCTATTTAGACAAAGACATAATGAAAACCTTTGTAGTTATCCTCAATAGAAACACAAGTTACCTTTGACAAAGTGGAGGATCACACCAGCTGAGTAGTGGTTGAGAATATAAATCCTCGTCTCCAGTGTGCATGTATGTGCATGTATGTGCATGTATATGGAAAAGACACTCGATGATCTGGAGAGAATGTCGACAAGCAGACATTAATAAGAAATACAATTATATTAAATAATAATGTAGTTGACAGGTGTTAAGTTTCGTTGATAAAAACAGAAAATTATAACAGTGAATGACCACATTTGACTACTTCTTCTAGTGTACAATAAAAGTTAAATATTCAACTGTGGATGCCTTTTAAGATTCACTTTTAAAAACAGTTTAATACATTTTAGGCTTTGGGTGCTAACAAGACTTCAGTGGTGTGCCATGAAGCTAGCGTTACATGATTATTGGATTCATGTGTAGTGAAGAGACTTGGTATGAGCACTGGTTCTGTCCTATGGATGAAATACCTCGCCTGTCAGCCACTGGTGTGGTCTGAGGGTCCGCATGTCAGAGTGACGGATGGTAAAACTGTTGCCTCTTATTTGAGTAGGGACTACAGACACCTCCACCTCAGTGTCCTTTTTTTCCCACAACGCGGTCAGCTGGGGGTCACAAAAAAAATACTATATCATTTTTATGTCCCAAAGCTAGATTGTTAACAGAGCATGAGATACACATTGTAAATGGAAAGGTATTATTTTATAACGTTCCTTTAGCATTCCTTAAACATTAAAATCTGCATTTTAACTTTTTAGTTAATCAATTATTTTACTATTTGATGAACTCCCTGATGATGTGTCCTTACAGTTTCTTACCTCTGATGAAGCATCCACTTTACCTCCCTGTGCGTCATCCTCAGGATGCTCCGTCATGTCTGATGTGGATGAAGATTGACCTTGTCTTGTCTTTTGGATCCTGTATAGAAGCCGAAACATCAACATTGCCTTTCACATTGTCCAATATGTGTTGTTAAGTGCATGTCATAGTTAATCACTTCATCACACAATTTGAATCTTAAATTCTTCTATCATTACCTACAGTATTCTAATAGAAAATGCATCATTAAGCTGTAGATTCCAAGCTGGTTTAGATGTATGTGTTTCAAATGCTTCCTGGCTTTGTTTAACCATGCTAAATGGGATTACCTGTGATGGAATATGTGCTTCCGTTTCACCTGGCGCTTGTTTTTGTAGTGGAGCTGGAGCTTTTGCTGTTTTTGTCTTCTGCATGAGCTGAGAAAAACAAAGTGTTAATAACACAAATATTATAACATTTATGTTATTTTCAACAAACAGGATAACAATGGTTTGCTCTAAAAAAAATACATACATTCTTCTTGTGCTGTCTGAAAACAAAAGGCTTGTTTATGGGTGTCACATAAACTCCTCGCCTGTTCTGCTTTCTTTGTTCCCATCGCTCCATGTCCACACGATGGGTCTGCAGTTAATAAGGAATATTGACAGAGTAAATGCACTCGTGAATTACCTTTCATTACATATTCTGCCATTTCACATTATTCAATGTTTTCTTTTCACAACAAACATTATCTTTGCCTGAAATAAATGTATTATTTCATTAATTATTATTCATCAAAATTATGAAACCAACTACATTCAGCATAATTGCATCACAGTTTTGATTGGTGTATCAATATTATTGTGATATTATTAGCACACCTAATATAACTGTTAATAATGACCAAATTACCTGCAGAATAACTGTTGGGAAAATACTGAATGTACTCTTTGAATATCAGAGTAGCACATGATGACAAAGACCCTAAGTAGCTGTGTACGTAACAGGATGTGTGATTACCTAGAAGAGAATCAGGACTGTTTGAGGCAGATGATAGCTATGTGATTAACATGAAGATTCAGCCTCTATGGAGAGAGACATATGACAAGCATGATCATTTCTGTCGTGAGCCTTAGCTAATCTGAACTAAACATTGTATACTGCTTTGAACCGGTATTCCTCTATCTTGTGACGGTGTAAAAAGTCTGTCTACAAGTCTCTTATATATAAAGCTTGTGAAGGACACTGCTCTGTAAACTATTTGTACCAAATGCTCTGTACGTGATGAATACTTCCATTCTTGCAAGGATAATAAATACATGTATCCTGATTATTGAAACTCAAGCCAGTGGCGAGTGATATTTTCCTAACATAATCGATAGCAATGCTTAATGACTAGGGACAAATGTGATAACATAACAGCCATATATAAATAACAAACTGTACCTTCTTCCCCCTCCTCAGAGAGTCGCCATATTCCCTTAGCAGGGCGCTCAAGGTGACTTTGTATGTATGTACAAAATCGTCCAGCCTGGTCAGACGTCTCCGTTGAAAACAGATCTTTTTGAGGTCCCACTGGCTTTTTTCCATTATCCCTCGAGTTTTGTTGTCCTCTGTGTAATTCTGCGGTTGAACATATTAGTTACGGTACATCAAATTATATTGTTAACAATCACTTGGATTACATACTGTTTACATTGCAGTTTATAATATTGATTATAGAATAATGCATTGAAATTCAATATTACATCAAAGCTTTAGGTTTTTGTACCTGTGTGGGTTTTTTTGCAGCAGTTTTGTACTTCTGGGAAAGTTTCTGATAAATGGTCCCTGTTCCAAGGTCACCTGACCAAACAGTAAACATGCCTTATTATTTTATATTACATTACATTAACAAGCAGCTATAGAAAGACGTGCAAAATAAAACTTACCCAAGAGTAGGCCAGACCACAGACCAGCCAGGGGCAGAAAGTACTTAAGCAAGGAAGGGATGAAAGTCGGGCAGAAGTACATGTTGTCATCACCAGATTTCTCAATAACTGTTTGGGTTATTAAGTCCTCAAAATGCTGTTTGAAGGGCGTAGGTCCGATATCAGTCTAGAAAAAACAATCCACAAATAACTTTAGTTGCATTGTATTGAGCTTGGGGTAATAGAAAAATATGTAAAACATGTTAATATTTGTCATTGTTTCTGGTCACACTGCCTCTGTCCTCTTTTCTGTGCTGTGTTGTACTTGAAGGTAAACAAATAATTTGTAATGATATTTTTGAGCTATGAAACAACTTCCAACATTCACATAATTATTACATACCACACAGTCTTCCACAATGGTTGAATCGTCCAAGTTTGACTGCGCTGAATTTGTCAGTAGTCCTTGGAGATTTTCAAAATGTTTTCCAACATTTCTGTCACTGTGGGAGCTGGAGAACACCACCACAGCACTGGTGACAACTTCATCCAGCTCAGACATTGTGGTGGCATTTATTAGGCAAGGCAAGGCAAGTTTATTTATATAGCACCTTTCAACACAAAGCAATTCAAAGTGCTTTACAAAAAATGAAAGACATTAAGAAAATGGCATTTAAAATCAGTCATTAAAAAGAAAAGCTAATAAAATAAACATTAAAAGAAAAAATACATGGATAAAAGTTACAGTGCAGTTTAAGATATGAATAGTTCAATTAAAAGCAGCGTAGTAGTTTTGGTAGTAGTCCAAGTAGTACTGAATCCAACAGTACCAATTACATTAAGAACTTATTGCACAAAATAATTGTATCTCTCATCAAAGATGGCAGAAAACATGCATTATTGTACTCAGGGGTGGAGTTTGACAAAGGATTACTCAAAAAGTACACAGTAAAAGTACTTGATTGTACTTTTGGTAGTAGTCCAAGTAGTACTGAATCCAACAGTACCAATTTCATTAATAACTTATTGCACAAAATCATTTTATCTCTCATCAAAATGGCAGAAAACATGTATTATTGTACTCAGGACAGGAGTTTAAACGAGTGTTACTCAAAAAGTACACAGTAAAAGTACTTGATTGTACTTTTGGTAGTAGTCCAAGTAGTACTGAATCCAACAGTACCAATTACATTAAGAACTTATTGCACAAAATCATTTGATCTCTCATCAAAATGGCAGAAAACATGCATTATTGTACTCAGGGGTGGAGTTTGACAAAGGATTACTCAATAGGTACACAGTAAAAGTACTTGATTGTACTTTTGGTAGTAGTCCAAGTAGTACTGAATCCAACAGTACCAATTACATTAAGAACTTATTGCACAAAATTATTTTATCTCTCATCAAAGATGGCAGAAAACATGCATTATTGTACTCAGGACAGGAGTTTAAACGAGTATTACTCAAAAAGTACACAGTAAAAGTACTTGATTGTACTTTTGGTAGTAGTCCAAGTAGTACCGAATCCAACAGTACCAATTACATTAAGAACTTATTGCACAAAATCATTTTATCTCTCATCAAAGATGGCAGAAAACATGCATTATTGTACTCAGGGGTGGAGTTTGACAAAGGATTACTCAAAAGGTACACAGTAAAAGTACTTGATTGTACTTTTGGTAGTAGTCCAAGTAACACTGAATCCAACAGTACCAATTACATTAAGAACTTATTGCACAAAATCATTTTATCTCTAATCAAAGATGGCAGAAAACATGCATTATTGTACTCAGGGGTGGAGTTTGATAAAGGATTACTCAAAAAGTACACAGTAAAAGTACTTGATTGTACTTTTGGTAGTAGTCCAAGTAGTACTGAATCCAACAGTACCAATTACATGAAGAACTTATTGCATAAAATCATTCTATCTCTCATCAAATATGGCAGAAAACATGCATTATTGTACTCAGGGGTGGAGTTTGACAAAGGATTACTCAAAATGTACACAGTAAAAGTACTTGATTGTACTTTTGGTAGTAGTCCAAGTAGTACTGAATCCAACAGTACTAATTACATTAAGAACTTATTGCACAAAATCATTTTATCTCTAATCAAAGATGGCAGAAAACATGCATTATTGTACTCAGGGGTGGAGTTTGACAAAGGATTACTCAAAAAGTACACAGTAAAAGTACTTGATTGTACTTTTGGTAGTAGTCCAAGTAGTACCGAATCCAACAGTACCAATTACATTAAGAACTTATTGCACAAAATCATTTTATCTCTAATCAAAGATGGCAGAAAACATGCATTATTGTACTCAGGGGTGGAGTTTGATAAAGGATTACTCAAAAAGTACACAGTAAAAGTACTTGATTGTACTTTTGGTAGTAGTCCAAGTAGTACTGAATCCAACAGTACCAATTATATGAAGAACTTATTGCATAAAATCATTCTATCTCTCATCAAATATGGCAGAAAACATGCATTATTGTACTCAGGGGTGGAGTTTGACAAAGGATTACTCAAAATGTACACAGTAAAAGTACTTGATTGTACTTTTGGTAGTAGTCCAAGTAGTACTGAATCCAACAGTACCAATTACATGAAGAACTTATTGCACAAAATCATTTTATCTCTCATCAAAGATGGCAGAAAACATGCATTATTGTACTCTGGAGGGGAGTTTGACAGGGGATTACTCAAAAAGTACACAGTAAAAGTACTTGATTGTACTTGTGCTACTAGTCCAAGTAGTACTGAGTTCAACAGTATCAATTTCACTAAGAACTTATTGCAAAAAATCCTTTTATCTCTCATCAAAGATGGCAGAAAACATGCATTATTGTACTCTGGAGGGGAGTTTGACTGGGGATTACTCAAAAGTACACAGTAAAAGTACTTGATTGTACTTGTGGTAGTACTCTAACAAGTAGTGAGTCCAACAGTATCACTTTTATTAAGGATGTATCGCTAAAAATCATTTTATCTCGTCAAATATAGCAGAAGTTGCATGATTTTGTTAAGTACTTCATTTTATTGTACTGAGTCAAACAGTGTTAGTTTTTTTAAGAACTCATGGTAAAATAATTTGTACCGCATGAAGCAGAAAAAACATGCATTATTTTACTCTTGCGTTGGTGCCGCTTCTCAGCGATTACCGTAAAGGCGCTATAAATCGCGCACTCAAAAATGAAGAACTGCTCATTTGACCAAGCAAATTTGAGAGACGGCTGAGTTGACCGCAGTGCCCCCCTCTACTGTCAGATATTCCCACCTACCTGCGCCGGAACCCTGCATCCTGCCTCACCGAAAGCGCTTTAGGCGACGGGGAAAGCGTGGTGGCGCGCTTGTCCATCAAAAAGCACACCTGACAGCTTCTTCCGTGACTTATCCACGCATCAGATGTCATGGCCCTCCCGCTGCACGCCATCCGAGGGTTCGGTGGATTCGCCCTGTCTTTCCGGAGCTGCGGCCTCTGCTGGGCCCGCTGGCAGCTCCTCCTGCCCGACTGACTGCTCCCGATCCGCGCGGCGTTCAACACGCACATCTTCGTCAGCTGAGACGCACTACACCTTCGGCCAGCCCGGAGAGAATACTCTGCATGGCTTTGCTAAATGCTAGGTCAATAGCGAACAAGACGTTCCTGTTAAACGACTTCTTCACCTCTCGTGATCTGGATTTAATGTTCCTGATGGAGACCTGGGTCCACACCTGGCGAGTACGTACCGTTTTCTGAACTTCTTCCTCCCGACTGTACTTTCTTCAGCTCCCCCCGTACCACCGGCCGTGGTGGGGGCATAGCATCAGTGTTTAGAGCTGATCTCCAATGCCGTTGTTACCGTTTAACTGGTTACACCGGGGAACTCGTTACGTTACGTTAACGGTAGGAATGGGGCGTGTACTTTGAGGAGCCATTGTCGAATAACCAGGAAATACACATTTCGATCGCTTCTTTTGTGTTTACATTTATCTTTTGGTATATTTGGCTCCATAGGAACACTTTGATGCACATTCAGTACCAGTGTGTGAGGTTGTGGTTGCGATGCCGATATCCGGACGCGTACAGCGAGGACTACAAAATGACAATGAGGTGACTGGGTATGTCTGTTCAAAACATTGCAAACGTGAATAAATCATTTCAAATATGTATTTGTCTCCGACTTTCATTTGTACATCGTTGTTAATGTGATGTTTAGTAGCTTTGATAGCTGTCCATACCTCCAGACAGCCTAAAAGTAAGACACAAGTTGTTTACTCACAGCCCGAATGCAGCATCGAGATCCGTGGCCAGCTGTGATCCTCTCCGATTAACTTGTGACAGGACTTCTTTAGCTATTCTCCAGCGAGCAAGGTTTTTATTAAATACCTCCATTCCTCTCATCACAACAAGACTCTACACTGTGCAGAAAAAAAACAACATAAATGAAAATAACCTTGCTGGATAGCTTGACATCAAGCATGCTCATTTCTGACGTGGAGCTAATCTGAAGTAAACATTGAATACTGCTTTCTATTCCTCCATCTTGTGACTATGTAACTCCCTCTCTTGGATATCAGCATGTGAAGGACACTGTTCAGGAACTAGTTGATGCTCTGTATGTGATGACTACTTCCATTCTGGAGAGGATCACAGACACATGGATCCTGAGGTTGAAGCTCAAACTGGTGAAAAGTGATATTTTTCCAACAATTTCCAATAAATGTTATTCTGAAACATAACTATCACTGTTGTCTTTCCTTCTATAACACTGATGTAGGCCAAGAAAAACGTTGCATTGCAAAATATCTAAACTTACATTTGGCACTTTAAATGTAGCCAAAAATATGTGAAGCTTGCCCTTAGCCCACCAAAAAGTGCATAGTTGCAACTTAGGCAGTTAAGCATTTTATATCAGTGGGTCCTAATGGTGCAAGACGGGGAAGGCAGACATAATTGCTTAAACATATAGGCTTAACCCTTTAATTGGCAGACCAAGAAACAAATCTATGGAAAAAGTATTTGTTTGCATTTTTTTTATCAAATGGGACACAAACTACTTTTTTTTTTACTGTCTACACAGTTTTGTTTTTATGAGCCTCAACCGTCGTGCTGGCATTTTATGGTAAAAGTGCATTTTCAACAATCATCATCTACAGTATTTGTATGCATCAAACTCAAATACATGTTTTTCTTTTATGGAAAATGAGCAATATACCAGATATATTCATACAAGATAATAAAGGATAATTGTCAACAATTTTCTTTTTTTCAAGCCATCAGCATAAATATCGTGGATCATAAAATCCATCAGTTGTTTAACAACTCCTGAATCCATCCCCTCTTGGTTAGCCCTACAGCTATTCTCTCTCCCCCCCCCCCACACACACACACACACACACACACGCACGCACACACGCACACACACACACACACACACACACACACACACACACACACACACACACACACACACACACACAGCCGATCTTTCTCTATGTATATCTCTACAGTATCTCTATCTATGTCTCTATCGCTATCTATCTCTCTGTCGCTATCTCTCTCTCTCTATAATCACAAACCAAGAAAGTTGTGACACTTCCGCCGGTTTATATAATGTACAATGTAGGATAGATGTACAATGTACAATGTAGGATATAAATAAATATAAAT